GGCTTTTCTTATTGTAATAGCTTTTTTATTTTTATTTTTTTAAACAGGCAGTGCTAATCAAAGCATAAACAAGTGCACAATTCAGCAGTTCATTAAGAGTTAGCCTGGCATGCAGGCTCTTCTAAACTGATCTTAACTACTGAGGTCTCAGGCATCCAATCTTGCATAAAATTCATTTCTCTTTTTTGCTGTTCCCTTTCCACCTCTGTGTTTGGGGGTAGCTTGCAGGAACTTGATGTGCGCCTCAGTTTTGACCTTGCTAAAGGAGAACGAGATTTTTTGGACAGAAGGAAGGAAAGAGCTTCTTTTACACTAAGGAGGCTTCTAGGTTTGCCAAAGAAACCTAGGAAAAATGAGGTAGGAAACTCCCCTTTTAGAGCTATCAGACAAGCCTATAATCAGGGGAAAGAGTAGTACTATGCTTTCAGTGAACCTCGAAGTAGTAGTAACAGATTTTGAGTTGCAGATAGAGAAATAGTAACGCATTATGCAGAACATACCATAGTTACAGCTGGGCTGACAGGAACCAATCAGGGGTATATAACACAGAGAAGAGTCTCAGTGAGAAACAAAGATGTTTGAGCTGTTAACTGTCTGTTTTCTGCCCTAAATAGTAGCTTGTCTTCAAACTCCTGAATAAAATTTAGGGGAGTGGGGAAAAACGTCAAAGGTCCATGAAACCTAGCAGCCCATTAGGGTGGCTTGTTTAAGGTATACTAGCTTCTTAAACCCACAGCATACAAGGGAGCAATGTGTCTTGCATGAATAACCATGTAACGATTCACAAATTGGTTGACTGAGATAGTGCAAGTCCAGAGTGAAGCTCAAACTTTGACTCTGTAGCAAGGCAGCCACTCTGCCATAGTGCCTCCCACCGTAACACTCCAGAGGCTAAAGTAGCTAAAGATTTGCACGTAGACTCAGTCTTTTCATAGTTTCATAGTTTCTAGGGTCGGAAGGGACCTGGGCAGATCATCTAGTCTGACCCCCTGCCATGGCAGGAAAGAGTACTGGGGGTCAAACGACCCCAGCAAGATGGTCATCTAATCTCTTCTTAAAAACCCCCAGGGTGGGAGCCTGGACCACATCACTTGGAAGCTGGTTCCAGACCCTAGCCGCCCTGACCGTGAAGTAGCGCCTCCTGATGTCCAACTTAAACCTTCCCTCCGCCAGCTTGTGACCGTTATTCCTGGTCACTCCTGGCGGCGCCCGGGGGAACAGGGACTCCCCCAGTGCCTGTTGACCCACCCCTTACTAGTTTATAGCAGGCCACAAGATCCCCCCTCAGCCTTCTCTTCTGGAGGCTGAACAGGTTCAGGTCCCGTAACCTTTCCTCATAGGACCTGCCCTGCTGTCCCTTGATCATGCGAGTATTTTAATAGGAGCAGATCTCTTTCCTGGGTAGGTTAGTTTATCTCCATGCTTCCTCCTTTTTATTTTTGTATATGACGGAGAAAATCTGTAAAATGAAACTTAAAACTGAATGACCCTTGTATGTAATGTAATTTAGTGGGTATAATTCCATCATGTTTTTCCCTACTCTTTTGTCTCTTTCTTCCTGTAGGTCCCGGTGGTGGCAGTAGTGGGGTCAGGAGGTGGGATGAGAGCCATGACTGCACTCTACGGCAATCTGTTGGGTCTCCAGAAGCTTAACCTCTTGGATATCCTAATCTATCTGTGTGGGATCTCAGGGTCCACTTGGTATGTACATGGAACATTTTTCCTATAGGAGTTTGACCTGATGTAACAAACCCCTGCAGTGTCAGGCACAGTCACTACAGCCAATGAGGGATTTACTTTATATTGAGTATCCTAGGGGTTAGGGTCACAGGCTAACAGGCCAATGGGAAAGGACAAATACAGGTAAATAGGCATCCATATTATGACAAGATACACTCAGAGGGCAAGTAAACAGGTAGGGGTCAGTACTGCTGGGGTACATACATTCAGCACATAGGGTCACCTGCCCACCTCTGGAGGTGTTCCCAAGAACCAGCCTTTAGTCCATGTAGCCCATGATCAGTCAACAAGCCTCTACAAAGTTGCTCCCCTTCAGTCACACAGTCACATTTTCAGTGCACACAATGCATTACATTACCCAATGCATACGTTACATTGATAACGACAGTCAGGACAGTGTTAGAATTAATACTATACGAACTAACATGGATGATTTATGATAAATATATCTGCTATTGTCTGCTAAATAGCAGCCTCTGCTATTTAGTGTCTGTATATTTGCTCATGTATTTTTAAATTTCTTAAGTGCTTTTATAGATGCTCTACTACTGTTCTGAGTACCTCTTTCATAAACATGAAAATTTATAGTGCATATATGTGTGTGTGCATAATATCTATAGCTATAAATATCTATAGATATAGATATAGATATAGTTATAGTTCATAGATGTAGGGTCAGAAGGGACCTAAGTAGATCTTTAAGTTCGACCCCCTGCCCTGGGCAGGAAAGAATACTGGGCTCATATGACCCCAGCTAGGTAATTGTCTTCTTAAAGACCCCCAAGGTAGGAGTCAGCACCACTTCCCTTAGAAGTTGGTTCCAGATCCTAGCCACCCTGTGAAGTAGTATCTTCTAATGTCCAGCCTGAACCTACTCTCAAACAACTTATGGCCGTTATTCCTTGTTACTCTGGGAGGTGCTCGGGTGAACAGGGTCTTTCCCATTCTCTGCTGGTCCCCCCTGGTAAGTTTATAGATGGCCACCAGGTCCCCTCTCAGCCTTCTCTTGTGAAGGCTGAGCAGGTTCAGGTCCCATAGCCTCTCCTCACAGGGTCTGCCCTGCTGTCCCTGGATCATGCGAGTGGCCCTCGTCTGGACCCTCTTGATGCTGGCCACATCCCTCCTAAAGTGCGGCGCCCAGAACTGGACGCAGTACTCCAACTGTGGCCTGACCAGTGTCACATAGAGGGGGAGGATCACCTCCTTGGCCCTGCTTGTGATGCATCTGTGGTTGGCCTTACTGACCATGTCCTCACATTGGCGGCCAATGTTCATTTTGGAATTGATAACAACTCCAAGATGTCTTTCTGCCACTGTGCTTTTGAGTAAGGAGTTCCCCAGCCTGTAGATATGCTGCTGGTTCTTCCTCCCCGTGTGCAGTACCCTGCACTTGTCAGTATTGAATCCCATCCTATTCTCATTTGCCCACCCGTGTAACCTGTCCAGGTCCAGCTGTATCCTGTCCCTTCCTTCTAGCATGCCCACCTTGGCCCAAATCTTGGTGCTGTCAGCGAAATTTGAACAGGGTGCTTTTCTCCCCGTCATCCAAGTTGCTAATAAAGAGATTGAACAGTGCAGGCCCGAGGACCGAGCCCTGGGGAACCACAATGCCTGCATCTCTCCAGGTCAAATATGACCTGTCCACCACCACTCTCTGGGTGCAGCCCCTCGGCCAATTTGCAACCCATCTGGCTGTGTAGGCATCAACACCATAGTCACCTAGTTTTTTAATGAGAATGGGGTGGGAGACAGTGTTGAAGACCTTCCTGAAGTCCAGAAAGACTACATCCACCGTGACACCTGCATCCCATGATATTGTGACCTGATCGTAGAAGGCAATCAGGTTGGTCTGACAGGACCTGCCTCTAATGAACCCATGCTGGTTGCCCCTGAGCATCATCCCCAATGCTGGCCCATCACAGATGTGCTCCTTGATGATCTTCTCAAAGAGTTTCCCCAGGATTGAGGTAAGACTGACGGGCCTCTCAGGTTGGTCTGACAGGACCTGCCTCTAATGAACCCATGCTGGTTGCCCCTGAGCATCATCCCCAATGCTGGTCCTTCCCATGTGTGCTCCTGGATAATCTTCTCAAAGAGCTTCCCCAGGATCGAAGTAAGACTAACGGGCCTATAGTTGCCCGGGTCCTCCCTACATTTATACACAGTACATTTATATACTGTGTGTGTGTGTGTGTGTGTGTGTGTGTGTGTGTGTGTGTGTGTACCCCCCCCCCCACATGCACACACCCCTGCTGGGCCCTGCAGCTAGAGGGTTATCAGAACAGCCACAAGTTTTTGTTTCCTCCCTATTGCAGCTGCCTATGTTCTCCTGTGAAAATATTGGTATTTTCAAGGTAAGATCTTTATTCCATCTTCCAAAAACAAGGTGATTGCCTTTTTTCAGGGATGTGAGAAAATAGTCATATCTTTGCCTCCTTTTTTTTTTAACATGAACATTTTTTTCATTAATCCATACAATCTTTTCATAGACACTTTTCTTTTCTGAAGTTGCCAAACTGCAACTATAGTTAGAATAGGCCAGATCTGAGGCCTAGGTTTTTTTTGCCACTGACATTCATCTTACTAAGGAACTAGATTTTAGTGAGATCAAGGTTGCCAGGTACAGAGTAATATTATAATTAGTGGATAAAAAGGAGTTAAACTGTTAAGAAAAACAACAGAAATGATGGTGAAGGGAAAAGGGATGGTGGGGGAGGAGAAAAAGAGAGAGAGAGAGAGAGAGAGAGACCTATCCAGAGAATGTTCAGGATGGAGGTAAAGGGAACATGTAGAAAGTCTCAGATGTTAGATACAAATGGTGGTGGATACATTAGAAACGTTTCTGCATGGTAATAGTTAATTAGGGAGGCACTGAAAGTCTGAGGATATGTAAAGGAGTATGGTACTAAGGTTTTAAAACTATGTAAAGTTTTGAGGCCCAAACTCTGTAAAATCAAATTTCTTCCACCACGTAACTTGCTATGCATTTTAAATGAACAAAGGATATACATAAAAAAAAAAAAAAATCTGTGTTTTAATTTTGGTTGTATTCTAATCACAATGGGAGGAGAATAACAATCTTTCCTTAGGAATTTTGGTATCTTGTGTACTAGTTTGATTTTTTTTTTCTTAACTGAAAACCCTGGTGGATATTGTTCTAGGTGTTTGTCTAAACTCTACGCAGATCCTTACTGGTCCCACAAGGACCTCCAGGAGGCAATTGGAATTGCTCGACAACTTGTGACCAGCAGCAAAGTGGGAGCGTTTTCTGCTGAGCGCCTGGCATATTACTTCCATCAGCTATTCTTGCTGGAGAAAGAAGGGTGGAAGGTCACCCTTACGGACTTGTGGGGTCTCATCATTGAATACTTCTTACACCAGAAGGTAATAGGAGTCCCAAATTATGAATGGTTCATTCCCTTTATTAAACTCATCCTCAGGGAAGAGTACAGTAACTTCAAACTTGGGGTCTTGTTACACATTAATTTTAGGCAACTCTTGGAGCTTTTAACCCCAGGACTGTCTACACACTAACACCTGAAACTAGTTTCGAGCACACTTTAGGTGGCTTAGTCATATGACTCCAGGGCAGGTTTATCTCTGATCCACGTTATCCTGTTTGTGTTCCATTAATGTGTGGCCACTCCCCACAGATGAGCTGCACAAGTTGCAGTCCTCCAGCATCCCAGGATGCAAGTGTCTCCTCCCCACCTGCCTGTTGTGTGGACAAATTTTCTGCCCTCTGAATTTTACCGCTTGGGGTGGGGGGGTGGGGTTCCAGCATAAACCAAGTCTCCCTCCTGCTCTACAGGGATGTGACCTTCCCACCCCTAGAGATACACCCCCATGCAAACAGCTTGCAGAGCACATACCAGCTAGCTAGGTTGTGGGGCACAGATGGGCCCAGGAATAGGGTCTAGGGGAGGTGCTGGGAGAGCAAGGTAGGGGGCTGGACTGGGTCCCTATGAACTGGGGATGGGGCAGCATTTGCCCTGGGTCTGTATGTATAACATCTTTGTGTAAAAAAAAGCTTTGCCACCTGCAAAGTGGGGTAAAGGTACTCTGTCTCTTCCGGGTTGTGAAGATCAGTTATCTCAGCTATTTTCCTTCTTGGGGCAGGGGCAGTTGCTCCCCCCACAAAGGACCTTTCCTCACTACTCTCATCTCCCAGCCACCCTGGGAAGCACGATCAGTGCCCTGCACCCTAAGCCAGAATCCCAGTTTAGTAAAACATGAGACCTTCTTTAATTTATTTCCTCTTTATTTCTTTAAAAATGTTTTTTCTTTTACTTATTTTTGTCTTATTCTTCATTGGCTGGCTGATTTCATTTCACCACCCTTCCAGCACCCCCATTTCCTTTCCTCTTCCCATTTCATTACTCACCCCCATTCCATTAACTCTTCACTTGCCATCTTTATGTTCCTGTCCTCCCCCTCAACCCATCTCTCATATACCCCACCCTGGAGCAGGGATAGAAACCCATCCTGATTAACCCTCCTTGTAGTGGCAACTCACAGATGTGCAGGTGGGGGACAGTCGGAGAAAATTTATAGCCTTAAGGTGTGACTGCTCCAAACTCAAGCTAACACTAACACTGCTCAACATTTGAGAAGCTCAGACTGTAATGTGTAACAAGGCCATCGCTTCTCTAAAGCCTGGGCCAGCTTACTACTTATCTCTGTGAAAAATTGCTTAGAATTTTCTCAGAGATTAAATACATTTTGCAGGAGAAAAGAAACATTTAATAGTGATTAAAACCACAGGCCAGTCATACAATATATGCAGACCAGTTTATATTTTCAAAATGCTTCCAAACCATTAGCTAGCATTCAGATCAGCAACTTTTTAGCAACAGTGGACTAAATTAATGTAGCTTGGTCCTAAGGTGGGCTGGTGCCATCCCTAGTTCCCCTACCATGCCTCAGATTCTCAGGCTGGATAAAATCTCTCTACAGGTTGCAGGTGGCCAACCCCTGAGCTAGCTGATCTTCACAACACTGCAGAAACAGGGAACTTTTATTCCACTCTGCAGGTGGGGAAGCTTTTTACACAAAGATGTTATGTATATGATCCCAGGGTGAATGCTGAGTAAGGGGCAGATAAGGTTAGAATTCCAGGATCTGGGGCTCACAGTGTTATGGTCAGCGAAGTGTGTATGCCTAGTATTTTATGTTTGGTTTTACTTTTTTGATGGTCTCTCTCAATGCTTAAGAACTTGGTTTCAGGACTGAAAAATGAGACACCCAGTTTTCTCATGTGATTTCAGTTTCTGCATGCTAAAACATAAAGTTAAAATTGCATGACTTTGGTCACTTCAAAAGAGGCTATGGTGTTGCCATTAGAGACTGGGCATCAGCTATTTTAATGTAGCTAGTATGTCTCCATGTTCCTTATAGTGGTATAAATGAACTAAATTGCTATCACTTTAATTCTGAACAAAAGACAGTTAAAATTTAAAATGCTTTTGCTGCACTTATATTAATACTAGGTAATTGCCCATCAAGAATGATTGATGGATTTAAGGGAGTGTTTACATGGCCCCCCTTCGTTCCTGCTCGCTCTTCAGGGCTGTCCATGTAAAGACTCCCTCTGCCATGTCCTCCTCCAGCCTC